ACACTTATATTTTGAGTGACATCCAGAAGTCCCCACCCCTCCCCCATAGCTTCCAAGTTGTCTAACCATTGGGGCTAGATATATCATTACACAAAGTAAAAATTGATTTACAAAATTTATTCTACAATCATGACAAATTTGGCAGGTATGGTTCTATTAACAAGAACTATTAAGCAAAGATCTAAATTGTTTCACCCTCTGATTTTGCAATGGAACTCCTTGCCATTTCTTTAGATTGTAAAGATAATAGGCCATAAGTATGTACAAATATACTCTAACATATTTACAAAAACTACAGAAAGCTACAAAATATTTGTGCAGTTGATATAAATCTCATGTCACTAACCTACAAAAGAGCCTATTGTCTTTAAAGTGTGACGATTGGATTTACAATGTATTTGCAATTCTTTTTTCTACTTTTTGTGGCAATTGTGAAACTACTTGAGCTGGTTCGCTTCGATCGAAAAAGAAATAGAAACGAGCAATGAAAAAAACTCAGTATTATTCCACGCAATTGGTACCGTATTTACTCATCTTATCTGCTTATAATCTCCAAAAGAACTTACAGATATATAAACTCAACAGAAATCACTCTTTGTAGCAGACACAAGCGATCAAAACATGCAAAAAGCATGCGGTGAATTTAGGATTGAAACTAACCCATCAGAGAATGACAAAGTTTCCTGAGATGTCCGAAGTCTCCTTGTGTTTTTACTTTAATGTTATTGGATCGTTTATCAAAAAAGATTGACATCCTTTCCTCTCGATAAACATGTTCATTGGTTCATTTTTCTTCATTTCGATCCTGTTCAAGTAACTTTTGTGCTTTGAGTTTCTCTGCATTCATTCACCATAATGTGTTGGGTTGTAATTTGAACTTAGCAGGTTACCTCACAGTTGCTTGAATAGTAAGTGGTTCTGATAATTATTTTACAGTTTACAATTGGAATTGCTGAGGCTTGAATTAAAAGCCCCACTTAGACTGACTATTGCTCATTACTTAATGCATGTCTTTCACCTGCTTCTGTGATGTTATTGCCCCAGAGGAATAATGTGCGTAGCTGACAGTTGTTTGTGATGGCGTCAGCCAAGTGCTGTGCTCCTGTGGCTGTGATGTTATTGTGTGAGAGGTTTAACATGTGTAGCTGACAGTTGTTGTTTGTGATGGCTTCAGCCAAGTGCTGTGCTCCTGTGTCTGTGATGTTATTGCCTGAGAGTTGTAACTTACGTAGCTGACAGTTGTTGTTTGTGATGGCATCAGCCAAGTGCTGTGCTATTTAATATATAAAGAGCCAAGTTGTGAAGGTAAAGTTTCTTGCCCAAAAATAAATAACAATTTGGAATAACACATTTGTGTTGTTTACTATCTCGACCAGAATCACAAGTTTGCAAAAGAAACTTGCAAAGATTGAGAAAAGAGAGACAGAAGAAACTGCGGCTTTAGAAAATATGGTGGAATGAGTGAGACTTATCTATACAGGCATTTAGGCTTGTAGTTCAAACAATACTGTTGGTTTTTATCTCGATTTTGTTCCTTCACAAGCTTCACAGCTGGTATGCTATTTTTTGATATTCTTTTAGTGATTCAGATTGTGTGAGAATCAACAGTTTTAAGAAAGGTTTTTGTAGGCTGTTAATATTTAGTAAAGCAGTGACATATTGGAACAAGTCTTTTACAGCCTTTTATCAACTATGCTTCCAAGGCATTTGATGCAAATCTGTTAACTTTGTCACCTACTATTCTGAAGATAGCTAAAAGTTACATTGATAATTATATAAAGTTGATATAGTCTTTATATCAACCCAAAAGATATAAAAAATACAATTGCCGATAGATATTAAAAAAGCAGTATGAAAAAAGGTTTCTATTAATTATTGACTTTAGTTAAAATATCACACTTATCATTTAACAATATTAAAGAAGAGCGTTCTAATGAACCTGTTTGAGTTCAAAACTCTCTATATCTTGATATTTATTGTTATTTTATAGCAAAGAGCTCTCAGAGCAGGAGCTACAGTTGCAAAATTGAAAGAAGAAGTGAATATATTAAAGGTATGGTTAAAGATTCTTAACTTTGTAGCTCTTCAGTAGCTAGTGAA